TTGAATTATCTAACGAGTGGTCAAAATTTAGATTGAATTTGGCAAACAAAATGTTTGATGATTGGAGAACAAGTAAACAAAATGTTTCATGAATGGAATTTAAGAATTTATGTTTTTATTCAACTAGTTGATTATTTTTTGGACTTGCTTTTTATTGATTTACTTTTTGGTTCAACCTAAATGTTCGGATAAGATTCCTAGTTGTGTTGATATTTTTTTTTTTAGGTTTGCACATGTGTTCAATTGAATTCACAAAGAACTATAGTTAGGTTTTGATTTCTTTTTGTGAACTTATTTTTGAAGGATTTTTTTTCAATTTTTTTAAAATTTATAGTGGTTCAACTTCTTTCAATGGATTCTAACTTTTTCTAATTATAAATTTTATTACACAGAACTTTTAGGCACAACTGCAATCATAAAAAAAAATGATATTAATTATTTTTAGTCACTAAAGATATTTTGGTCAAAGTTGATTCCATTCCAATAAAAAAATTATTTTATCCAAACATAAGAATGAAATAGATATTCCATTCCAACACTTATTTATGTAAACAAAAACGCCCTAAGTGCTCAAGATGTAAAGTTGCTCCCTCTTAATCTATGTTTTTCCCCTATAATGATGTAGATATTTTTTGTTTTCAAAGTCTATCGATTAAGACTACCACAAACTTGTAAACAAGTAAAGTATATAAAAAAAGGGACTGTCTTCCTCCCATTTTTGTCAGAAATTGGCAATACAAGGTGACACTAATGTTCGTCCAAAACCAATGAAAATAATGCAGTGGGAATTGATAAGTGACTAAGGATGAGTTAGTTGTGTCTTAGATCCATAATGATGCCAACAAATAGAGGTAACAACTTTCGATGCAACATGTTAACACAACATGAGCCCGTCATAAATTTTGTTGGTTAAGATTGACAAGATTTCAATGCGAGTCTAAAAGTGGCATCAAGTTGAATAGTATCAAATGCATACAACTTGATTTTGAATAAAAAATCATTTTAGTTGGTATTATATGAAGAAAATGTATGTTTTTTTCATTTGTTGATCACAAATTGTATGGATTCTTCTAGAATTAAAGTTTATATTGCATTGACTGATATCTATTTAGACCTTAAATGGACCTTAGAGGGGTGAATAGGTCTTGTGCGGAAATAATTAGGAATTAAAAATTTAATGATGTAATTCGTCCAATAATAATAAATCATATGCCAAAAAATCAAATAAGATCGTTCAATGCACGTGTAATCAATATATGAAAATATATCAATCTAGTGTATTTGAAGATCTAACAACAAACAACCACAAAAATAAGGCACTCCGTTTTTAACGTGAAAACCTTGTAGGAAAAATCAGGGGACCTAGTTCAGCCTAACCCTCCAGTATTGAAATTAGCAAAATAAACTCATATACTTGCAAACTGTTGTAATGTATCCTTTTGTCATGTACTCCTCTCGACAAACTTTCTCTTGTCGTTTACTTTGTAGATCACCGGTTCTTTCAATAATGAATAGGTCACGTTATTGACACGTCCTCCTATGAATCCTTTGACTTCCTGCTCGGATGTTCAAGACTTCCTCCAAATTTGGAGGAGTTTGAGAAACTCGTATTGTAACACCCCAAACTCCACATTGGACGACATTACTATCTAAAAATCATTTACATCACGAGAGTAACTAATAAGATCTATAAATAAAAATAATTACATTCATCATCCATAGTATATACAACGTCATCCAAAAAAATATGTCAAACCATGGTCATTACATCCAAAAGAATACGCCAAACAATGGCAATTACGCCCAAAAGAATATGCTCAAACTATTGTCTCAAAATGAAACTCCTAGTCTAGTACATAAAAATAGCAATTTTAGACATCCCCTTCTGGATCCACATGCCCATCCACTTGAACTTCCCAATTTCCTTGCTCGTCAACTCCGAGCTCTTCCCCTAAACCGAAATCTGAAAATATATATTGTTTATAGGGGTGAGCACTAAGCTCTATAGGAAAATCCTCTCACACTTGAACAAGGTTTAGAAAACATATAAAAACAGTTGGTCCCATTTCACAAATATCATATATATATAGCTTTTGAAATAAAATTGGGACATTTCAACAAATCACCAGTTTACGCAATAGCAATAATTAAATAAAGAAATAAAATCAATTTCCAAGCAATAAACCATTCCAATATTAGACTATTCCAACAATAAGTCATTTCCACAATGAACCATAACCCACCATTTGTAACATTACCCACAATGTATATCAAACCACAACTTGTATCTTTCACAACATTATGTATCTATGTATCTTAGGTATGATGTATGATTTCACATGAATAAACATATCGAGAATATCTTGGCCCACACACACACACCCAATCCTCGCAAGGATATCAAATTTTAGGAAGAACGTATATCAACACATTGGCAATGACGAATCCAACCCAGGAATAGTATACTAACCATCATCCTTGGTACCCGTAAGCGAATAATGGTTTGGTCCTCACAAGGCACCAACCCCACTATGAATGATAAGAAAAATTCAAACCCCCACGGAGTAAGAAACGCATTTATCTACTCTACGATACCTGATCAACGGCCACCCATGGTCATCCAAACATCCACAAGAGATACAATTCCCAACAAATTTCTCAAATAACCAACAAATCCAAAATCCCCAAATTCCACATGTAGTATTACCATAGAGCAATTTAAGAAAATAAGCAAGAGATCATCAACAATACTATTTTATTGAACAGTACCATTTTATTGTTCAATAAAAAACGCTAAAGTTTTTAAATCAAGAACAAGAGGATATCAAGAAGAAAAATCCATTTTTCCCCAAAGTTACGTTTTTACATCAAGAATATGAATTTCTAGGGTTATCAAATATAAATTCTTTCAAAATATGGTAAGGTTTGCAAGAACATCAAGAATCAAGGATTCCATAGCATATATATATGATACAAAGTGAAAAGAATACATATATGTAAGCCCTAACCTCAATGAACAAGAGTGAGAAGAAACCCTTACTATGAATCAAAAGTTTTAAGCAAAGCTCAAGCTCTAAAGACTTCCTTCCTTCCTTTTCTTTCTCCCTTTATCTTCTCCTAGGGTTCTAAGTGGTTTGGGGTGAGAGTGGAGTGAAAAAATGGAAGAGAATGGAATGCAAATGGTGTTTTAAAGGCAACCCAATCCCGAATTTTACTGTTTATAGGGCCAAAAATTACATTTTTCACTAAAATTACGGTTTTGTCACTAAATATCTACAATTTGATTTGTATGACTACCCTAAAGTTTTTAGACGTTCCGCATTCATTTTTTATGTTATTTTAAACTAAAAATATATAGTTTTATGATTTATCTTTATATTAAAGTAAATTTATACTCAAAATACTAAAATTACTATTTTATTCCTCCGAACCACTATTAATGAAGGTTTAAATTGATTGACCCATTCGAGGTCCAACATACCATCCTTGGTACTCTATTAATGTCCATTTATAACATTTGAAGGAAATAATGCATAGTTCCAAAGCTCGGCGAAACAATTTTAAAATTTTTGATTTTTAGAAAGAATACCGGTACAGTATACCGGTACTCTATGCTCTCTGGACAGTGTGGTACCAGTACACGGTACCGGTACTGTGTTGTCTAGATTTGCCTCTGTTCATCTGTTTTTCATTTCCAATCCATTTCATACCTTTCCAACACCAATCCCAAACTTACACAACATACATTTGTATATCAAACATAATTGGTACAAGTTTTACTACAAACGATTCTACATTTACTCGGGTTTTACAATATTAGTATTTCAAAAAAGAAATGATTACTTGTTATATAAAGATAAGAGTGTGGGGAGGGGAGTTACACGTATCTCTGAAGCTTGTGGTTGACTAGGGTGTTCACACAACACTAAAAGATTTTAGCAATAAATCTTTAGTTAAATTCTCTAAAACATTTTTGTTTATTTGAAAATCAAAAAGGAAAAAAGTTGTGTTCTAGGTTTGATCTAAAAACTCTCTGTTTAATTTTTTTAATCTCTTTTCACTCTCAGAAAAAAATGTCACATGGTTTCATATTTATAACAAAAACATATGAAATCGATTTTGGAAAGGCATCCTAATTAAAATAGGGTTCTGATGTGCCATAATCGCTTAAATACGCGTATTCTCAGTTAAGCATGCATGGGCTCTCTTGAGCGCCAAGCAAGCAAGAAGTGAGTGCAAGTGACATCCTTCTCGCTCGAGCTAAAATCCTAGGACAGGCGAGCACAAGCTACTTGGAAACCATTCGAAATTGATTTAAATTATCTCAAATAAAGACTCTTAGGTGTTGCTTGAACATGACCTATGCTTAGGCCTTATTTTTACCAAAAAATCAATTTTGTCATACAAAAAAATGTAAGGACAAGTATACATTACATACATCAAAATTTGAAAATCTTTTTGAAATAAATTCAAAGTTCAATACGTTATTAAGTCCACTTAGCAATCCTAAGCTAAATGTGAACGCTATGAGTTTAACTTGATTTTATTCACGAATTTGCATTTCACCCACAAATAAGCTTCATGTTATTCAGCTTAAATTTCTTCAATTTTCAACGCAAAAATCACACCATTTTATCCAACCTTAACTAATTTGCTCGACTCAAGGAAATATATCAATTATAAAAATACATTTACAAAATTACTTTAACATGATTTTGTTAATATAATGATCAAGTAGATTTTTAGTTTTTGAAAGACGTGAGAGTGATATATTTAATTGAGAAAAAAAAGGTTATGGCTAGATATTTGGTTCACAAGTTATCTATCAACATGGATCTATACAATCAGGTTAATGTCGAGGCAAAGGAGAATAAGGGGAAAAAAAAAATGGAAAATGGAAAATGGAAAGCAAACCTTGAGTCACGTGCCATCAACGCACTGAAAAACAAAGAAGGTACAAATAGAACTTGGCGCCCAAGAACCCCTCCAAAGTCGCTAGGGTTTTTCAGTCACCTTCTACTCTTTTTTTTGATACTTAGTCACCTTCTACTCTATTAACACAAACGCACATAATTTCTCAATCGGCAATGGCATGAAACCGTATTGTGCCCAACCGAAACTTTCATTGGGACCTACAATGGCGTTCACTACTGGGTTCCGATTACTCCGCTGCTCTCAGTTGTCACTACCCGCCTCTCCGACCCGGTTATGGAGTCTCCGACAAGGTGGTTCACATCTCCGGTTCCTCTCGGCCGGTCCTTCTCACCGGAGAGTCAGAACTCCGGTGAAAGCGAGGCGGAGAGAAGCGGATGAGAGGGAAGACGGAGAAGAGGGGAATGGGAGCGTTGTAGTGAGGGACAAGAAGGGTAGTGGAAGTGGAGGTGGAAGTGGAAGTGGAAGTGGAGTAGAGGGAAGGATTATCCAGTCGGAGCTTCACAAGGAGGCCACCGAGGCCTATATGGCTTACGCCATGTCAGTCTTGCTGGGTCGGGCCTTGCCCGATGTTAGGGACGGGTTGAAGCCCGTCCACCGCCGTATACTGTGAGTTATTCTTCTTTTTCTTCTTCTTTTGTATATATGTTTTCTTTAATTGCCCTGTTTGGTTGTCGAGAAAATTTGGGAAAAATAAATGGAAAAGTGAAGTTGCGAGCACGTGCACACTTGCAACCTTACTCACTCGCACTATTTCCCTGTATAGTATAGACCATAACAGAGAAATAAAAGTTAATTTTCTCCGGTTCACCTACTGCCAGCCATAAGCTCAAATGGTATTAGTCATTATCGAATTGAGCATCACTATGCATATCTTATTTGGGCTTCTTTCGGGTAGAGCGAGGATATTGTTTCCCTGGTGTCTTATGTATTGTGAGATCATTTTTCTATAAATAGTTCAATGTAAACCGTCAATGAAAATCTAGCTTCCATTATATTTTGGGAGTTGAACGTGTGGATCTAGAATAGAATTGGCAGAATTGATTTGGATACTCACAACTTCAAATTTGGTCGATTTCAAAGGATTTCACCTGCCCATAATAAAATCATTGCATCTTGCGGGTCTCAGTGGACTCATAGGAATGCAAATGATTGGATTTGACTAATATTGGAAAAAATTTAAACTCAGAGGATGCAACCCCAACTGTATTGCTGGTAAATGGGGAAGAGGAAGGGTGTTTTAATGCATCTTCCCTCTTCCTCACTGCATCTCTCCCCCCTCCCCTCATAAAAGTGTGATTTAAGAAGTATGGATTCAGACATGGGATACGATTTCAATATTGTAGTCTATACTTACACACTGACTTGAATTTTTTGAAACAGTAAAACAGGAACACACTGAAGACATATATATACCTAAAACACACAAATCATAATGTTTTGTAAAACATCGATCTGTTACTTGAAGTCTCAAAATTCAACTTCACAACATTGATTCATGATCAACACAACAAAATAATGAAATCAAAATTAAGTGAAATTTTTGATGAAAAGGAATAAAAACTTTTAACATGATTGGTATGTCATTGATAGGCCACTGGAAGACGATAAATGTTGTCAGATGTCACGGTGATGGTCCTCTTTTGTTTTTTTACTATTTTTAGAGCTAATGCTTTTAAGGTGATAGCTTCTTATTCTTCTTATCCTCTCTTTATTTTAGGGCTTAGTTATAGTTTTTACTTACAGAAATGAGGATTTTTATAGTTTGTATTTGACTTTCATCCTTCCAGAGTGTGTCCCAACAATGTCTTCAGAATTAAAAAAAAATAAAAATTGGACCTTCTCTCACGCCTCTGAAAAGTAAATTGTCTATATGTTATATGTGATACGTGGGTTTAAGAGAGGTGTCAGTGCTTCATGGAGTGCCATATTCCTACTATTATGTTTGTGAACTTTTTACCATATGGGCTGGCTCTTTGTTATTACTCATTTTGGCATAGGAAACGATCGTTCCACCCCCAAAACTCGGTATTTGTTTGCCATAGTGGACTTACGCAAGAAATACTGAAGAAAGCATTTTATGTGTATTAGTATTCCCTACGAGCAGTGGTCTACATAGAATTTCTAAGCAAACACGGAGTTCTATCATCATACGTAAGTATTTGTCGGTGATAGTCATCACTATCACTTGCATTCTCCAGTCAATCAGTTGCTTGTATATTCATGTTATCGACAAATTATGGTATACCTTTCTTATATTTAATAAGTTGTTGTTAACAAAGTGATCCTTAGCTTTTCATGTATTTTATGTTGGTTAACATATTTCTTATATCTTCTGAATGGTATGCTGCTCTTTATTATTTTCCAAAAATTTTGGCTACAGGTATGCAATGCATGAATTGGGACTTTCATCACGGAAACCTCACAAGAAATGTGCAAGAGTAGTGGGAGAGGTTGTAATCCAACTTTACGACTTGTTTTTTTCTAGTTATATGAAATGTTAAATGTATTACTCTTAGTGGACTGTTTCTTTGTCATATATATTGTTGCCTTCATCGTGTAATTCTTTGTAATTTGATTGCTTTTATTGCAGGTTCTTGGCAAGTTTCATCCACATGGGGATACTGCTGTATATGATTCCTTGGTCCGAATGGCACAGGTAACATTGGAATTTTGAATAATACATCACTCTATTTTAAAGGGCAAGTGAGGCTGCCTAATGATTTGCAGGTCTTTTGCTTTCAAATCTGATGAATTCCTTATCTGTCTTCAACATTCTATCAGTATATTACAGCTACATTGATGACCAATACATTTAAAATATGTGACACCATAGGAAAGTATGTGAAGGAGCCCTGGTTGGGTTCCTTCCATTCAAGTTACACATCACAGTTAGTGAATATCCATTTGTAGTTCAACTCGATACCTTTTGGAGGCCAGGAAGAGTATTTGTTTGTGAAACATGAATCAGTGAATGCTTATGTGGCCGACCCTAAATAGTTGGGACAAGACTTTGTTGAGTTGAGTACACTGCATCACGCAACATACATGCTACTTGCAATATTTAAGGTGTATGATGCAGTTTAAGGTGCAATATTGAAACACGATCGTACTTCCTGCAATATTTATGTATTGTGTTTACTGTTGTTTGTTCTGTATGATTCTTTTTCACTGCCATCACCATCCTTAGAGCCCATTGCGAATAAAATACTAACCGGCTAGGTAGTCTTATAGTTTCACTGGGGATTGTCTTTTATTCCTAGTAGAGTGGTGTTGGAGCAAAATTGTGCTACCAAGGATCATAATACGCTCATAGAATTTCAAAGTATTTGGTTTCCTCCTAACTATATGATTTCATTTTGCACTTGCCTTTTCTGTGGCACAATGCAGTGTTGGCCAATCAGTATGCATTAAAATACAAACTATGTTTGAAAGTTTGGGTTAAATTGTTGTAGACCCATTTCATTTTATTTGTTTTTGCAAATGTATTATTAGTCACTGATAATTAGTTTATCTATGGCTGTTTGTAACCTTAGTGACCTACTTTTTCCTCCAGGATTTCTCCTTGCGTAGCCCACTCATTCGAGGGCATGGGAATTTTGGCTCGATTGATGCAGATCCTCCTGCGGCGATGCGTTACACAGAGTGTAGACTGGAAGTAGGTTTCAAACAATCTGGTTATCATAAGGGGGCCAAGCATTAGTGCTTTAACAGTCTGTTAGTTGTGGGTGATGTAGTTGTTCAATTACTGTCTCTAGAATGTTAGGGTCCTTAAAACTTTGTGGATTTCTTATAGTAATTGATGGTGAAACAAACTGTGATTGCTTTATACCATCCTTAAATTTAATGTGCATTATTAATAAATGTCTTCTCCACCATGCCAAGTTGATAAGTATTTCTTCACCTTATTTATCATTCATGGGCAACATTTCATATCTTCTTATTGCTCATGTGCTTAAATATTTGAAGTATATGTCGCAGTGCTAAGATGATGTCCTAGATTTATGGTTTGATTCATGATATTAAGAGTTTAAGGTATACTCATTTGTTTTAGGTACCTCTTTTCAGGCACTGACAGAAGCAATGTTATTGGCTGATTTAGAGCAAGATACAGTAAGTACCTCTTGAAACTGTCCAAGTCATTTGTAATCGCATGCTTCAGTTTTGTTGTCCTATTTTGCTTTTGTTTTAATGTTTCATTTGTGGCAGGTTGATTTTGTCCCAAATTTTGACAATTCTCAAAAAGAACCATCATTGCTTCCTGCTCGGATCCCTAACTTATTGTTGAATGGTGCTTCTGGAATTGCGGTGATTCATCTGAATACATTCTTATGATTTCACTGTGTTTTAATGTTTTAATTGTAGTTCTGGTTCCAATTTAGTAAGGATGCTGGGAGGAGCAAATTTGGTACAAATTTTTTATTTTGGTATTATTTGCATAGTGGTTGCCCTGATATTCAAACTGACAATGTGCAACAGCTTTTACCAGTAGATATCAAAATCTAAACTAACGGTTGAAAATTCATCCTAGTGGCACTTTGTTTTTCCAGGTTGGAATGGCTACAAACATTCCTCCGCATAATCTTGGGGAGTTAGTGGATGCACTCTCTGTGTTGATTCATAATCCTGAAGCCACGGTATATGTTTAATCCTTTGTTATCGAGAATCTATTCTTACTCTCCCGTTAATGATTGTCCAGAGCAAACATGTTGTTAGATGGTTTGAGGCATATCTAGCAATATTACCTGATTTTACCACACCAAGGATAAACTTCAAGAAAAAGATGCCCTCAATTTTCACAATTTATTTTTTATGGTTACCCACACCTCTGTGTTTGGGACTCCTTTTTTTGCTGAAAAAGGGTGTCTCACATGTCTGTTCAATATTATTGTTGAAACTTGTGATAGTGACTGCTAATTCAATCATATCGGAGATAATTAAAATGTTGCTATGGCTTGAAGATTTGGTCTTTCAAGAATTCAAGTTTACTTTTTCTTGCCATTATTTTGTTGAGATAGGATTAGTCTCACAATATCAAATGTTATTGACCTAACCATTAATTTTCTTAATGGGATAGTGATGGTTTTGACTCTCTTTCTCACACAAATTATTTTTCCCTGCAATAGCTACAAGAATTGCTGGAATACATTCCCGGACCTGACTTCCCAACTGGAGGATTAATAATAGGTAACATTGGGTAGGTTAATCTCATCTCTTTCTTTCATCACTCATGCATAAAACATACATTGTGAAGTGCTTTATAAGTGTGAACTTTGGACCTTATTGCATACAATACCTTTTAAAGCCATGCGGGTCTGGCTTGAAGTGGTAAAATTGTATAGTAACGAATCCACCATGTTAGAAGCCCAAAGTGGACAATATTATATAGTAACGGGTCTGGGGCATTACAAAAGTGGGGAGGATTCTGTCATAACCCCAGATAGATAGGCAAGCGTCACATTGGGAAGCGCATTTGTAACGTTTTGTTGTTTTTTTTTTCTTCTGTTTTTTATTAAATTTTCCATGATTGTGTCTTACCAAACTAGTGAAATTAAAGACAAAATGAAAATAAGCCAAAAGTGATGAAGTTTGAGATTGTAATTTAGCAAGATTACAGTGTATTCAAGAGAGAATTAAGTAGTACTTGGTTATTGCGAGAACTTCCTTGCATTATATAGAGGTAAATGATAGATAAGGATTTATCTATGTACGTATGTGTTTGCTTATTTGATTCACTGGTCCTTGGCTAGCCTACACGTGGTATGCTTGATGTTAGTTTAGATGATGCGACAAAATTTCCCAATCCTTGGATAGGTTTTGCTTTGGGCAAAACTCACTTCTTATTGAGTTTTGGCCATTAATTTAACCAAATAGAACTAACTAACTTTTGTGTTGCAAGCTAGGAAGCACGGATAATCTTTTCTTGGTCACACATTTTTTTCCTTCCCAGTTCTCTCTCTCTCTCTCTCTCTCTCTCTCTCTCTGCATATATTAAATTTCAGTTTTTTTTAAAAATATTTTTCTTTTTTTTTTGGTATAATCTATTTAATAGTTGTCAAATATAAGCTGCCAATTGTAACATATTAACTCAATGCCTAATTTGATATTAGTCTATTGCCCAATTATAAGATATTAACCAATTTCTCAATGTTTATTAGATCATATTATTAATCTTTTTATTTGATCATATTATTAATTTTTTTATTTATATAAAAATATATAATATTATTTTAATTAGTTGTATCGTTGTTGTACTTGTGTCCTATATTTTAAAATTTTGTTGTATCTCCGTGTTCGTATTGTATCACAATACCCTTGTCTGTATCGGTGCATCTTAGGTTGCAAGGAACCCTTTTGAGTTATATTTTTGGTTTCATATTATTAATTTTCTGATATAGATTTGTAGGTTTATTTCTTCAGGATTGGATGATCTTGATTAAGTTTCTTTAGATGTAGTGTTGTGATTTTGGCCCATTGATGAAAAGAAAAATCAGTTCCTTTTTTATGTATCTCGAGCCTTCTCAATCTTTTTCTAATAATCAAGGTTATCTCATGTAAAAGTACCTATAATTATTGGTTTTGATCTTTTGAAGGATTCCATGAGGACTTGGAGAGGAGCTAGACTAGGGATGATAGACTTGCTAGGGATATCTTTACCTGGTTGAGTTTCTTCTTTTCTTCTTCTCCTGAACTGCGAGAGAAGTCATGAAGAGGTATGATCATCTAGTTCGAGATATAAAGATTGAACAGTAACTTTTTTTACTTGAGGTGAATGAAGATTCATGGGGAGATATCATTAAGATTATTGAAAGGAATAGGTTCACAAGTTCTTCTATTTCAGTTGAATTGGTTGGGTAGTGTTCTGATAGAGTTGTGTAATTGGAAATCTAGATAGCTATTCTTCAAACAATTCAGAGGCAAATCTGAAAATTTTGGGTGGAATGAATTTAGATGGGAAATGAAAGTTCTTAAATATTCCCAGAATTCAATATTCTAGTGTTAGAAGGTTTATAATGGTTTCGCAAGGCATTGATGGCAATAGCAGGAGGAGAAAAAGTGATGTTGGAAATGTTGTGCAGACGGAAAAGGGGGTATCAAAGAATGACGATTCGTAGAAGATTGTGATGCATCAAGATGCTCTGTTTTCTAGAATGGGTGATGAAGCTTTGGAGTGCAAGAGTTTTGATGAGAAAGTGGATAACATAGGCTATGATCTTAATGGCCTCAGAGGCTCTGTTTGTGAGGCCTCTGTTTCTTCAGAATTTGATAAATGGAGTTGTTCCCTTGTTTGGAAGAAAGAAAATTTGGTGATAATTGGGGACAGTTGTGGTGGTCTTTGGAGATGCACAATTTGTTTGAAGCCAGAATCAAAGTCTGATGTCCTGATTTTGGTTTCATTTCGACCTCAATGAACGTTGAGTTTCATGGTCCGATGTTTCTGATTAGAATTAGGGTGATATCTGCAATGGGTTATGTTCCTTTAGTTGGCAGAAATTCGTTAAGGAAAGATAGTACCACAGAAATTCCATGGAACAATGAAAGGTTGAAGACGATTCAGCTGGGGAAGTAACACTACATGGAAAGGTAAGTAAGAGTGGTGTACATAGGTTTGGTGAACTGAATGGGAATGGACTTCTAGCCATTCCTGTTTTCCCAGCCGGTTCAGCACCTCCAGCAGGATTTCGCGCCATCTCTTTGTTGATTCTGCCTGGTTCAGCATCTTCAGCAGAATTTTTTGGTTGGTACTGGCCCGGTTCAGCAACTCCAGCAGGACTTCGCCCTTGTGCAGAGAGTTTCAGCATCTTTTTTTTTATTGTTGATTCTGCATCCACTGCTTAGTTTCTTCTTGAGAGCATGGATCCTAAGGTAGATAATACTCCCTTGACCACTATTAACGATCTGAATACCACACTTCCTCCACCAAATTTTTGCTTCCTTCTTTAATGCTCCTATGACCTGCGTTAAATTGAATGGGAATAATTATGTGTTGTGGGCTCGATTTGTCGATGTTTTTCTTAAGGGAAAAGGTCTTCATAAGCACTTAGTGGAGGCTAAACCAAGGAGAGTGATCTCAGCTTTGCCAAGTGGGAATAGGCAGATGCGCAAATTATTTCACTCTTATTGGCTTGTGAGGTATGGAGACAGTATTTTAGTCTTGAATAGGGCACCTTGACTCTTTCTAAGGTTTGGGAATTTGTGAAGAGTGTAAGTTGTATCAACCCATATCTTCTGATGTTTTAAAGATGGAATAACAACGTGATGATGTTGATGTTGTCCATTTTTTGATTGGGTTGCGATAAGAGTATGAGCTTATCCGTGCACAGATTTTGGGCAGTCCCAAACTTCCATCTTTTCCTATTGTGTTCTCTCGCCTTTAGAGTGCTACTCTGTCTTATCATCGCTGTCCGACGAGTACTGATCTTATCAGTGATTGGTCAACTTTAGTTGTTTCCCTAGATGGGTCTAGTGGTTATTGTGGAGGACGTGGTGGTAGGGGAGGTTGGGGCATGCGAGGTGGATTTGGTAGTTCTTGTGGTGGTAAAGGGGTGATACTCGTAGGTGCACTCATTGTGGTTGGAATAACCACACAACGGAGTATTGTTGGGATTTACATGGTAAACAACCTGTTTTAGCTCATCAGGTATCTTCTTAGGAAGTTGTTTCCTCCTCTGGACCTACTCAGCCTCTTATTGGTGACCTTATTACTATCACATGTGATGAATATACTCAGTTCATGTCCCAGAGACCGGCCTTGACATCCTCTACTACTACATTTGCTCGTTCGGGTACGACACCTACTTGTTTACTGTCTTCCACATCCAGCCCGTGGATCATTGATTCTGGAGCCTCAGACCATATGACTAGTTCCTCTAGTCATTTATCTCACTTTCACTCTGTAGCTCCATCGCGTAGTGTTACTTTTGCCAATGGATCCTCCTCCCAAGTTTCAGGCTTAGGTAGTATACAACTTAGTCCTTCTTTATTGTAGTCATCTATTTTGCATGTTCCTCAGTTTTCCTTTAATTTGTTGTTTATTAGTAAGATTATTCGTAATCTTAATTGTCCAGGAATCTTTTATTCCTCATTTTGTGTCTTTTAGAATCTTAAGATGAAGAGGAAGATTGATACAGGACATGAATCTGGTGGTTTTTATTGCTTTGACTTTGAACTGCCCCTAGAGCCTTACAAACCTCGTTATCTCCCCTCCAGTGGCATTGCCATCATGGACATCTGTCTCTTCTTGTTTTGAAATTTCAAGTTTCTAGTCTTAGTAGTTTGTTGTCCTTGTACTGTGAAGCGTGTCAACTTAATAAGCACCACCTTGTGCCATTTAAATCTAGGATTGATAATTGAGTTTCTAGTCCTTTTGAATTAGTTCATTCTGATGTATGGGTCCTCTAGGAAATTCTTCAATTAATGGATTTTGTTATTTTGTTACATTTGTTGATGATCATTCTCGTAGGACTTGGTTGTTTTTAATGAAATCTTGCTTAGAATTATTTTCTATCTTTTAGTTGTTTTGTAAGCAAATTAATACCCAATTTGATTGCCTTATTCGTGTTCTACGTTCTGAAAATGCTAAAAAATATATGTCTAATCCCTTTCAAAGTTATTTCTAACAAAAAGGGATTATCCATCAGACCTCTTGTGTTCATACGCATTAACAAAATGGCATTGCTGAACGCAAGAATCATCATTTATGCGATGTCACTCGAACTCTCCTCTTTCATATGTATGTTCTTTCCTGGTTTTTGGGTGATGTTTTGACTACTTGTTATCTTATTAACCGTTTGCCTTCTACGGTCTTACGAGGGGCTTCTCCTTGTTTTGTCTTGTTTCCTTAGTCTTCTTTGTTCTCAATTCCTCCCAAGGTGTTTGGCTGTGTTTGTTTTGTTCATAATCTTGATCCTGGTTTTGGTAAACTGGATCCATGTGCTATTAATTGTATATTCATTGGTTATTCTCGTACATAAAAGGCTTAATGTTGTTACAGTCATACTCTTAAGCGATACTTTACCAGTGTCGATGTCACCTTATGGGAGTTTATACCCTATTTCTTTGCACAACCTATTTCTTTTGATTGTCACTCCTAGTCCTCTCCCCTGCCTATTTCACTTCCTCTACAAACCCCAAGCCCTCTGCCCTCTCTTGAGTCGCTTCTTGTGTTAACGTCTCCTCGTGAATCTTTCACCATACCATTGCGTGTCTATTCTCGTCGGTCGAGGCCATCTGTTCTAGTTCCACCATCAGCTTCCTCATCATCTTCGGATCCTGTCACGTAAGTATTGTCAGACTCTCTACTGATTGCTCTTCGTAAGGGTATTCGGTCCAATGTACTAACCATCCTATTGATACTTTTATTTCTTCACATTCGTTATTTTCGTTATTTTCTTGTTTTATCTCTCAGTTGTCTATTATATTTATTCCTAAGACTGTCTAGCCGCGCCACATTGGCGGCAAGCTATGGAAGAAGAGATGCATGCATTCTATGACAATCACACTTGGGATTTTCTTTCGTTGCCTCCTAGTAAATAGATGGTTGGGTGTCGCTGGTTTTACACCACTAAAATTTCATCTGGATGGCTTTGTGGATCGTTTCAAAGCTCATTTGGTTGGTAAGGGGTACACATATACCCAGGCAGGGGCGGAGCTAGACTTCAACTCTAGTAGGGGCAACTTTCAATATATGAATGCTCAAACTTGGACTATTAATATTATTTTACAAAAGTATAGTTTCATCGAAATAACATATACAAGTGATATACAAAAAGAGTTGACAAAAAAAGTTCACTAGAAAATTGTACCAAACAAATACTTTTGTATCAAAAAAATAGTGCCCAATAATGAATTGATTTAATACATGAAAAAATCCAAATTTTGGAAAATCTTCATAATTGTTTCAACAAATTTTCACAAATTTTATTTGAAAATTCTTTCTCAACATATGCAACCAAGTAATTATTTATACATTGCTTTCTCGACTTTTTACTGTGTACCTTATTGAGAAGTATTTATCAAAAATAATTCATTATTCAATTCCAATCGATCAAAATAGTTTAGGAAATCAAACAATTTTTAACATAAATACAAGTCTAGTAAGTCAAACTTAGACATACAAACAACCTAATTTCTCACATTCAGATTCCTCAAGCCCATTGAACCAAATGGTTTAATACAAAAAATAGTCCATAACATGTAAATTCTAAATATAACAATCTCATTAAATTTAACAACTTGCAATTCTCTATATTAATTTAACATACAAAAATAGCACAACAAAAATATATATAAATATCTGTGATCAAGGAGACCAATTCTGGAATTGTAGGAGTGAAGTTCTTAGAATCACTGTGATTTCTGAAAAGTAAAAGTAAAAGTACTTTTTTGTTGTTGCTAAAGACTAAAGAACCCCGCATATTTGAGAAAATAAATGACTAGTTTTGAGTATAAAATATTTTCAATGGGGGCAACTTCTAACATTTTAAAAATTTAAACATTTTACCTTACTCCCCAAACATTTTTAAAATTCCACTGGGTGCAACTTTTAACATATTTTAAAATTTCACCTAACTCTCCAAATGCTTTTAGAATTCTACTAGGGGAGCTGCTCCCACTTTAAATCCGCATCTGTACCCAGGTATATGGTGTTGACTATGCAGAGACTTTTTCTCGTGTGGCCAAGAGTTCTTTTGTCTTGGTTTTGATTTTTCCGGCTGCTAATCACTTGGCCCTTATTTCAACTAGATGTGAAAAATGCTTTCTTAAATGGTGACTTAGAAGAAATTTATATGGAGCAACCACTTGGGTTTGTTGCTTTTAGGGGGGAATATCAAGGGAAAGTGCGCAAATTAAAAAAAGCATTATGGGTTGAAATAGTCTCCACGAGCATGGTTTGAGAAGTTTTTAGATGAAGTGATGGATTTTGGCCTTCATAGATGTCGGAGATCTCTCGGTATTTTTCTAGTGTACTAATGTAGGTAATATCTTTCTTGTTGTTTATGTTGATGATATTGTGATTATCGGTGATTACTCTATGGGTATTGTCAAGTTAAAACAGTTTCTGCAACATCGGTTTCATACCAAAGATTTAGGCAAACTCCGTTACTTTTTGGATATTGAAGTTGCTAGATCTAAATAGGGCATTAGTCTATCTCAAAGAAAATATGTGCTTGATCTTTTAGAAGAAACTAGTATTCTAGGTGGTCGATCAGTTGATATCCCTGTAGATCCAAACCATAAACTCTTGGTGGATGAAGGTAAATGCTTCTTAGATCCGGGATGATATCGTCGACTCTTTGGGAAGTTAAATTATCTCATTATTACTCGACTAGATATATCATATGCAGTGAGTATAGAAGCTCAAGCGCGAGTACTACATTGGGATGCTCCTCGAGTACTACATTGGGATGCTGTTATTTGTATTTTTAGATATCTCAAGCGCGTTCCCGGACTTGGGTTATTGTATCAATCACATGGACACTTGAAGTTGGATGGGTTCAAATATGCTGATTAAGCAGGTTCTTCCTCATATAGACTATCTACTATTGCATATTGTATTTTTTTGGGAGGTAATTTGGTTACATGGAAGAGTAAGAAGTAGACAGTGTTGGCTCAATCTAGTGCAAAAGCTGAGTACAAGGCGATGGCTCACACGTGTGGTTAGTTAATGTGGTTACAACACTTTGTTGAGGAGATAGGTTCTAGTCAAGACTCCAATTGAGTTATTCTGTGATAATCAAGCTGCTATTCATATTTCTTCTAAGAACACAAAACACATCGAAGTTGATTGTCGTTTTGTTCGAAAGAAAGTGTTGCATGAAGATATTGTCACACCGTTT